GGCTAGTAAAGCAACCAAAATGCTGGCTTGCATCCATAGATGCTTCTCAAGCAAATCCTGGGACGTCATTCTCCCCCTGTACTCGGCCTTAGTGAGGCCGCAGCTGGAGTACTGTGTCCAGTTTTGGGCTCCACGATTCAAAAAGGATGTGGAGAAGCTTGAGAGAGTCTAGAGAAGAGCCACGCGCATGATCAGAGGTCAGGGAAGCAGACCCTACGATGACAGGCTGAGAGCCCTGGGGCTCTTTAGCCTGAAAAAGCGCAGGCTCAGGGGTGATCTGATGGCCACCTACAAGTTTATCGGGGTGACCACCAGCATCTGGGGGAACGTTTGTTCACCAGAGCGCCCCAAGGGATGACGAGGTCGAATGGTTACAAACTACTTCAAGATCGTTTCAGGCTGGACATAAGGAAGAACTTCTTTACTGTCCGAGCCCCCAAGGTCTGGAACAGCCTGCCACCGGAGGTGGTTCAAGCGCCTTCATTGAACACCTTCAAGATGAAACTGGATGCTTATCTTGCTGGGATCCTATGACCCCAGCTGACTTCCTGCCCTTTGGGCGGGGGGCTGGACTCAATGATCTTCCGAGGTCCCTTCCAGCCCTGATGTCTATGAAATCTATGAAATCTATGAAGATTAAAAGATCATGGATGCTGAAAGTGAGGGCCAGGAGCACTGGCACAGCCAAGTAGAGGTCCAGAACTGGAAGGGTGAGGCTGCAGGGCAAGGTTAGAGTTGATTCACAGAGCATGGCAGTGGTTTTAGGACTGGAATGACCTAGGGTGAGGAGCATTGGCAGAACTTAATGGATGCCCCAGGATAGGAGATGCAGGGTGTGTCTACATGTGCAATTAATGTGTTCCTGGGCACCCATCTGAACATGCACCCATTGGGAGCAAATTTGCAGGGCTGACAGTAGGCATGGGCTGGTCCCAATCTCCACAGTGCAGGGGGAGCTGTACCTGCTCTGTGGGCAGCTCTCTCCCAGTCATGTGAAGATCATGCCTGGTCAGCATCCCAGTCAATGTCTACATGTACACTTCAGCACATTACTTAATACACCATTTATCTAGTACTTGTATATATTGGTACCAGCAAACGGCATATTATATTATTTTCATGAGCAGTAATTGCTGTGCATGTGTAGACAATGATGCTTTACTGCTCATTAGATTAGTCTAATAGTAAAGCATCTCATGTAGACTCACCCACAGCGGTGCAACAGGTCAGAATTCTAGCACATTGGCAGAGCCTTGCAGGCACTATTGCACAGCACCTGCCTGCACAGTATGTGACTGAAGTTAAGTGCTATTACTCTCTCATCTCTATAAGCCAGGGCTGGGAAAAATGTGCCCTGTGGGCTGGATGCAGCCTGCCAAACCATTCTATCCAGCCCACAGGGCCCCTAAAAAATTTAGAAAATTAATATTAATCTACCCTGGGCTGCCTGTCATGCGGCCCTCGATGGCTTGCCAAAACTCAGTAAGCGGCCCTCTGCCCAAAATAATTGCCCTCCCCTGCTATAAGCACTAAATGCACATGCTATTTTAAAAGCAAAAAGCTATAGACACTTTTCTTCTAGAGATCTTGCCTGTAGGAACAAGTCTAACCAATGAACAACTAGGCTTTAATGATACTGCTTTGCGTACCCTTTACGCTTGTATTGTATGTTCCTTTGTACTTCCTGTTTTTAATGTTTTGTCCCTTTTCCTTGTAGGAAAAGCTAGTAACCTGACAAATCCAGAAGCTGATGTCTCAGAAACACCCCTTAAAGAACAGGTAAAGAAGGCAAAGCTGGACAGAAAACATTAAGTTGTTAGTACAGCTGGATGAAATGTGTAGGTTTGTTCCCTAAAAAACTTGACTTGTGTTCATGCCACTGTGTGTACTCCTAGGGAGGGACGATGTGATTTGTGCATGGGGCAGGGGAAGTTGTGGACTGCCCACTGTGGGCTTGGGACTCCCTGCCCTGCTGCCCTCCCCCTGGGGGCTGCCATGGCCCAGCAAGCGGGACCTGCCATGGAAGGGCAGAGCAGGGTGGGGAAGCTCGCTGCTGCCACCACAGGGAGCCCTGTGCCAGCTGCACCACCATGGCAAGGTGCCCCCTGCCCACCTGGCAGCAGCAGGGACAGTGACAGCAGCAACAGTGCAGAATAGTGCCCCCTTAGGCAGGGGGCATCTCACCTTGACGGTGCAGCTGGCACAGGGCTCCTGCTGGTGGCATCACGAGGCCTCCTTGCCCTGTTCCACCCTACCATACTGGGTTCCACCTGCTGGGTCGCAGAGGCTCCCAAGGAGAGGGCATCGGAGCAGGGAGCTCCACGCCCCACAGTGAGCAGTCTGCATCTTCCTCCATCCTACATGGACTCTGCTAAGCTCCTGTCTGGCTGAGCTGCCCGTGGTGGGGGAGCAGGGGGGAGAGGGGGAGCATGCTCTGCTTGAGAAGAGCTCAGGCTGGGGGCCCCCTCCATTAGGGCTGGAGGGTGCCGGGGGCTGTGGGTTGGAAGTGAGGGGGACCAGCAGGCCCAGGGGGCTGCGGTTTGGTAGTGAGGGACAGTGGCAGGGCTTGGGGAGGCTTTGGCTTGGGAGTGAGAGGCAAAAGCTTGGGAAGGGGCAGAGCATTGGCATATCAGGGCTGCTCAGTACCACAAAGCAGGGAGGGCTTAGCTGAAGTTGGACCCACATTCTGGTGAGTGAAGGGGGCAGGGGGAGCTTTGATTTTTCCATGATAAAAAAAAATAAAAATCAAATGCCAAAACATATAGGTATTTAGAAATTATTTTATTATAATGACTGAGGCACTGGTAGGCTTCCAAATTGCTTTAAAATTGTAAATGTATCAATTAAATATTGTGTTCAACTGATACCTATATTATATATTTTTTTTTATCAGAGAATTTTGGATTTTTTTAAACATAAAAAACCAGGATTCCTAGTTGTGAGTCCCATGGCTGCAGGGTAAAATGGGAGAAGTCTTGCTGGGGTGCTTACAGTGGCTATGCATGGGGGTGCACGAAATTCCCTCCCCCCCCCTCCCCCCAGTTGCTGACTGGCTGCTGGGGGGGGCAATGCCCCCCCAACTCAGGAGGCACCAGTCATCCATGGGTACTTAGCCCATAGAAGAGAATGGGCTCATGAGGCAATGAGATAGTACAATGTTATATCCAATTTGACTAGTTCTGTTCTGAGCCAAAAAGCCAAATCTTTAGGGATTAAAAACATTGATTTTTTTCAACAATAAATACATTTAAAAATCCACAGCAGAACCTCTTTTCCTTAAAAAGTTGCAATAAAAAATCCCCCTTCATGCTGGATCCAGTGTCTGTGGTGCCTTGAGAGGGTGATTTGTGTCCTGGACTTGGTGCCACAGGTGCTGGATCCAGCATGCAGCAGCGGGCTCCTGGACTGGCCCTGTCTAGATGCTGTGTGCAGCACTGGTCCCAGAGTGGATGCTGCATGTGGTGTGTGTCCCGAACCAGCCAGGGTGGGTGCTGTGTGCAGCTCACATTCTGGGCCCTGCACATGGGGCTGGTCCGGCTTGTGCTGTATGTTGTGTGTGGGCAAAGTTGAGACCCAAGGGCAGCACCAGGGGCCAGATGATGGGACTTTGCTACCTGGATCCCACTTGAGGGCCATATATTTGACACCCCTGTTATAAAGCAAAAGTGTGTCTAACAGATTTGTGGATATAGATGTTTATATCTTCCAGCAATTGGCTCAGGTAATCTGGCAATTGTTGCAGTTATGATAATGGCTGTTTGGTGGCTTACTCAAAAGGAGTTGATGGGGCTAATTCTGATCCCCAGAGGCATAACAGGACAGCTGGGCACCCAGGGTAGTGGCAACGCTGAGACAGGAGCAACTTTCAGCTGTTGCCATGCTGCCAGCCTGGCTGTACAGTCATGGTAGCAATGATTATTTTTCTGATGCTTCTCCCACACCCCAACAAATCAGTGCCTAGTGCTGCTGCCTCAGTTGCCCCACCTTAATTATGGTACTGCTGATTTCTAATGGAGAAACATCCCCCCCCCAAAATCCCACATCCCCCAAAAAATCCATTTCAACTTGTCCTAGCTGGAATCTACACAGAGAAACCAAAGTCCCAATGGCATGAGAAGACTGAATTCACTTTATCCTTAAGTGTGGGTTTTTTTCAGCCTAGATTTGAGATCTCTTGATGGAGTAGTGTGTGAGGGGCTTGACCATCGCTGCCCATGCTGAAATACTCAATGGGTGCATCTACACGTCATTATGGCGGCGTTGTTACTGCGCCGTGACTTAGTACTTCCTTTTGAAAGTACTGAATAACAGTGCAGTAACAGCCCCTACTGTGCCATAAGTGCAGCGCATGATTATTTTTAGTAGCTACTCCACCGTAGCAGTGCAGTATAATGGGGGAGTACATTGCTACCGCAGAGTAGCTGCTGGTCACACGTAGATCCCCGTAGTGCATTGATAGGGTGACATAATGTTATATGTAGACATGCCCCATGGGTAACTTAAAGAGTGCAGCCTCCAAGGCTAGGGACAGACATTCAAAAAGCTGGAGCCCGAATTGATTCAATATTTGAAAGTTAGTCTAACCCGGCTAGGCTAAATCAGTTTTGTAACCAGACAGACATCCCAGAAATGCAGGTACATGCCTGCAGTGACTCAGGCTAGAAGCCAGGGAGCTCTAGAGCAGCCCTCCCTTCCTTCCACAGCATGGAGCTAAGGGGTGTGTGGCCAGGCTCTGGCAGGAGCTCTGATTAGCCCAGCAGGGAATTGATAACAGTGTTTATCACCCAATTAAGAAAACAACAGAGGGACATTACCAGTTACTTGTTGATTCTGCCTGTTGATTCAGCAGGGACTGTAGCCAGCACATGGTCTGCTAGCTAATACACAAACACCTCCTCAGCAAGGCAGAGGGGAGTGGGGAACTCCTGCTTAGCAGGGAACTATGATGGGAGTGGGGAAGCAGCCTGCAAGTCTCTGGAGCTCCAGCCAGGGAGCAGAGGGGAGTGACCAACCCTGCTATGGATCAGAGAGCCCTGCCCAGCCCAGAGAGCATGCTGGGATTCTGGGGGAGTCTGGTTTACCTTAAACCAGCAAGGGGGCTGGGACAGACATTGCATAAACTGGTTTGAGCCAAATCAGTTAAGTCTGATACTACATTCAACCAGGTTTATCTCAAACCAGTTTCAGCCATTCTCAAACTGGTTTATGTGCACTGAACACCTGTTTTGGTACAGGTTTAAACCAGTTTCTGATCGCTTAAACCGGTGTATGTGTAATGTCTGTCCCTAGCCCAAGAGCCCAGCCAGTCAGATACGCTTCATCAACACTAAGAGCCAAATACCATTTCACCTCTGTATGTCTAAGTGTCACTTATGTAGCCATAGAAGAGCCATCTTCAGTGCTTATGCAAACTTCAGATTCTGTTTCCCTGGCCCTGCCCCCCTGGAGCAAAAACCATCCCACTGCTGTTTATCCATTTCATCCGATGACTGTTAGATGTAAAATGCAGAAACATGCTGCAGAAATATGATGGCCACTTACATGGCTAGGGAAATGGCACTTAGGTGTATAACAGCAAAATAGGATTTAGTCCTAATTTACCTTGAAATTATGTTCACAACTGTAACTGCCTTGTGTTCAAAGATCTTGTAACAGGTCATGGGGGGTTTAACCCACAAGTGGTGCCCTTTGGCAGCCACTTGTGACCTGCAGGGCTACAGCCTTCCTGTATGCTATTCCTGGGGTTGTCTGTAATGCCTTGATCTTAAGCAATCTGAGAGGCAGTCCTCAATTAGTCCAGAGCAACACTAGATGCTGCTCTCTGCTCTGATCATCATGGGGCACCTCTAGATGAGCCGATCAATAGCACTGCCCTTTTCCCTGGGCTTGCTAGCTCGCCAATTAGTCCAACAAAGTTAATGCCCTCACATAATCTCTTGTATTAGGCTGATAGATCAATTACTGTTAAATCAGGACCTTGCCTGCTGTTATTAACTCCTTCTTGCCTCCCCTTTCAGCCTACTTGCAGAAACCTGTTATCTTCTTTGCCAGCAATTCTGCTTAAGTACAATAATGGTCCCAGGTATAAACCAAATATAAACAGTTCCCAAACAAACAATACCAAATCAGTCCTCAAAACAGAAAGCCTTTGTTTCAGGGCCTTGCCCCGTTCCTGCTGGTTGATCCCAGTTACAGTCCATAACAGACCTACTCACAGTTTCTTCTGCAGTCTCCATCAGAGCTCCTATCAGTTTTCTTGCCTGGATCAGACTGACCCTTTTAGCTGCAGGGCTGGATTTATATGCTTCCTAGGCCCATCTCTTCCAGGTTCCATGTAAAACAGTTTATCTTGAAGGTGTTATGTCCCTTATCCCCTCTTCTTCCATAATGGGGTATAGCAGAGGCTGCTATAACACAGATTATTTTGTTTGCAGCTTTCTGGACAGCTGGACTAATAAATTTCATTTTATTTCAGCTAAAAAATCCGTTCAAGAAGAAGATCCCAGCTGGGGCTGAAGTGTCGAACATTCTTGCTGGAGAAGTCAGCTTTCTAGATAAGCCATTTATTGCCTTCATCCGACTAAAGGAGGCAGTGGGACTTGGGGCCTTGACTGAGGTAGCTTTCCCAAGCAGGTAACACTCAAACAGAGACCACCTCTGTAGAGACTCTTAGGCCTTTTCTTTTTCCTTCCTATCTCTTCAGTTCCTCTGCATATCACACAGACATGTCAATGGTTTGGAGCACAGAACTGATTGGTTCAGGATTGGTAATATAAAATAGAATTTTACTTGCTGAGAACTAAGTGTAAATCTTTCAAAAAACCAAGCATAAAGCCTCCACTGAATTCCCTAGGGAGATGTTCCTTCTTAATGTAGCTTATCATGACATCTAGTTAGGAACTGATCTTGTGGGTATCACTTGGTAAGAGACACTGAGGAGAATCTCACAATTCTCCTCAGTGCTGACTTATTTCCCTACCATAGCACTGGGTCTCTGTCAGTGGGTGTGATATGTCCTATAGCTGTTCCTGAGAGCTGTTACCTGCTTCCTTTGTGCTCACCTGCCACACCTTGATGTAAAACAAATAGAGGGGAAGCTGAGTGTTGCAAAAAAGGAAAACAGAGCCCTCTTAACAGGGAATACATGGTCTTCACAGGGATTCACCTCCCCTACACCCTGTCCTCACCCCACCTGCTGGGATGGACCTATGATCTTTCAAGTATGCCCAAGTCTTTTGACCCCTGGCTCACCCAATTTCCCACCACTTATTTAGACCTTTCCAAGTCACAAATTCCCCAGGGCTCAATTCATATGCACACTCTAGACCAAAGGGGTCCTTATTTATGGCTATTCACTCTGAGATTCCAGCATCAATCACTAAGTCCTTGTACTTCTTTGATTGATGGATTTTTTTATCAATTAATTCTTTTTTATGCCTCCTCAATCACATGTTCACTGTCCTCGAACTTATCAAATCAGTGAGCCTTCCTTAGCGATACCCTTCAGCCAGTCCCACCATTGCCAGGCTGTCAGCTCAATAAACTGGCTCCCAGAGAGGCTTCCCAGCCACTCCCTGCACAAAGATGCTTACCTCATGTCCCAGTCCCAGCACCAGTGGGATGAGTGGCTGACACTTCTCCACTGGTTACTCTTCACCGGCTTCTGCTCCAACTGCCCAAGGCTTGTCCCCGGGCTGGGACTCAGGTCCGTTGTGCTCCTGGACTCTCTCTGTGCCTCTGCACAGAAATGCACCACTCTCCTCTGGGAGACCATGCACTCCCCTCTCCAGGGGTGTTATGATTTGGCCCTCTCCTTTGGGCCCGCCGCACCTCCCAGGAGCCAATCACCCACAGCTGCCCAGGCATATGGCTGCCTGCAGCTGGGGCCCACTGGCACTTCTAGGGTTATTCCCAGATGGACTTGCTGGCAGCGGTCAGCCAATGACCCTGGTTGCACTCGGGGTCCTGCTCATAACAGGGTCTGGAGAATGGCTTCCTGTTACAGTATCCATTCTTGAAAGTGGCTGACTGAAGGAGACATGGTCATGAGTATCCAGTGGCATTTCTGCTGTTGGAGTGCCTGCCCCATGCGAATCCAAGAAAGTCAAATGAGATCAATGTCACTTTATCCCAATTTGTGTGTCCCTGTCATACAAATGTATCTTCCTATTAAAGGATAAGTTTGCTGGGAGCTGCTCTGGCGTCAGTGTAACATATTCATGGTCCCCTATGGGACTCCTAAATTCTACCGGCACCAGGAGCCACATAAACAACTTCCAGGCTGACAGTACAGGGTCTCTCAATCATATTTCTCAATCTCAACTCAGGTGCGCTGCAGGGCCCCACCTAAAATACTGACACTGTGCTGTCAGTCTCTCCTAATAATCTACATTTGGTAGAAGCAACAGATAGGACACATACAAAGTAGGTAACAATTTCCCACTTGTTGCCAGAATGGAATAACAGGGGCCTGATGGGGCCCTGGAGAGTGAAAACCAGGGGAAAATCCTGCACTGGCCCACAAGGGGCTAAATAAGATGGGTCTCAGTAGTGAAGCTTCTCTAGCACTAGTTGACTCTGTGCTAGCAAACATTTTGCAGATGATTTCTGAAGACTTGGCAGCTTTGGTTGCGTTGTGTAAGCAGTGAGCTGGAAACAGGAAGAGCCTGATTTAAAAAAAAAAAACTTTTGCTTTATAGAACTAAGCCCTGTGCTGCTGGGGCTGTGGCTTCTACACAAAACAAAACAAACTGTCTTGTGAACTGTGTGGGATCTCAGTATCACCACTTTCCTTAGACAGACAGCCCTCTCATCCCTTGATTCCTCCTTCCTTCCAGCTGCCTTGATGGACAGCACAAGGGCTTCATATTTACTGACTGGATTTTCCAAAGCCCTCACCATTGGTCTAACTATGCTGCTGCTAAAGTCAATGCCTTACTACTCCCACTGAATTCTATGGCAGTTTATCATAGTTAACTCTAAGAAGCAGAGGCATAATGGGCAGTGTCTGTGCCCTAGGTAAACCTGGCAAGAGAGCTGGGGGTGAGAGGGAGGGTAGCAGGTGAGGTGTCACTGCTGTGCACTGGAAGGGTGGGGGTTCCAAGACCAAGGGTGGGTGTGGGACTATTACCTATGCTGGGGACTCAAAAGCAGTCCCTGGCTGCTGTAGTGACAACCACAGCATGGTCTGCTCACCCTGGTTGTTGCTCCTACAGCAGCAGAGCTGTGTTCAGGCATCCAGTTGCTATGTCAAAAGCAATGCCATCGGGCTGCTCTTTTTCCAGGGACATGGACTCCTTGGGGGTGGCGGCCAATTCTGGTACTTCTCCTAAGCTGGTACCTGGGGCTGATGTCCCAGCTGCCCACCCCAAGATACACTATTGCTAAGGACAGCCCAACACTATTTTAGACCAGCACTGTTCACCTTTCATAGATTCATAGATTCATAGAATCTATGAAACACTAGTTCACTAGTCACTTCAGAGTTCAGAGGATAGGTAATGGTAATACATGTACTTCAATCTGACAAAGCCTTCATAAACCACCTTCCACAGCCTGGGGGACCATGTTCTCTTTCAACAGCATGCCAAGACCACCTCAGAGAATGCCTCAGTCTCTGAAACACCGAGTCCTGCCTGTAGGAAGATCTCTGAAAAGGAAAAGAGCAGTTACTCTGGAAATCTGTGTTGTTTCTGTGTTCCCTTTAGGTTCCTTTTCATCCTCCTGGGCCCCAGAGCCAAAGTGAAAGCTTACCATGAGATTGGAAGGGCCATGGCCACGTTACTCACGGATGAGGTGAGTCCATATGTCTGGAAAAGTGCTGTATGTATCTAGAAGTTGTATGAGGTGTCAGCATTAGCCCTTTGTTCCCTGTGTGTGAGGCAAGCTAGAAAAAGCTAATGGGAGGCAATGGGTGCTCTCAGTACCCTGCTAGCACTGCCAAAAGCTGGCTGAGCATGCAGGACATGGTGGGTTATAAGAGTCCTTACTTCAGATCAGGACAGAAGTCATGGCCTAGCAGTTCCTCTGCTTATACCTGTGCAGTGCTGGTACACTTAGTTTTCATCACAGACAGTGGCTGAGCACAGGGATGGATTTGATGGTATAAATGCATTTCCTTCCAGCTCTTCCAGAGAGTTGCTCATTGGGCTCAGGACAGAGAAGACCTCATTGCAGGAATTGATGAGTTTCTGGATGAGCTGACAGTGTTGCCTCCAGGCAAATGGGACCCAACCATCCGAATCCCTCCACCAAAATGCCTGCCCTCTCCACATAAAAGGTACCAAGGGATGAGCACCCAGCAAGCAACTAGGTCTCTTTTTCTTAAGATCAGAGGTAGGCCCAAGGCACAAAGTAAAGCTCAGCACTAGGCATTTAGGTCCAGACCAGATCAGCTAGTGCTAGTCAGTGGCTCTTGGAGACTGGGAGATTAAAGCCACCCCTGCTGATTCTGGCCCAATGAACTCAGATGAGCTTCAGAACAGGGTGTTCTTGGGAGAGATGTCGCTAATTCCTCTTTTAAAAAATAAGTGTTGTGTGTGGCCACTACCTTGCCACTGGACCCTTCATTTCATGTGAAGGTAAAAGCACTATAACATTGTCTCCATTTCTGGTTTATTCATGCTACTGTGGTGAAACTTAGTGCCTCTAGGGTGAGCAGTTGTACTCAGACTCCCAGAGAACAGTCAAGTTAAGAATCCAGTAGTAAAAATCACCAGAGGAAACAGTGTTTGATTTGTTTGTGAAGAGGGTTCTGATCTGAAACTGTCCATCTGGATTCCTTTGTGTTTGTCTTAGGATATCTATGCACTTACGGGAATGGAAATCTCACTGCAATGGGAACCTATGTGCCACTGAGGACAGACATGCCCATGGGCACCAGCATGTCAGTGAAGAGCTGAAGAGAACAGGGAGGTATGCACCCAGTCAAGGGTTGGGCTTTTCTCCAGAATCATCCCCAGAGAAATCTGCTTCACAGACAGGCAGCCAGATTCAGCCCTTGTGTGAATTCAGCAGAACTTGCAGGTGCAGTTCCATTTAGTCAGTGGATTAGTGCCCATTTATACCAATGCTCAGTTTGGTCTTGAACATGGGAGTCCCATAGAAAGCGTACCATCCTGGCACAGAGTAGATGTAGGTTCATTCCTTAACCTGTTTTTCTTCCTGTTAGCAGGGCTTGGGGCTCTCTCATGTGGTACTCACATGAGAAACCTGGGCTGGATTTCCATACCACAAGGTGAAGGCACACCTAAAACCCAGATTAAATTTTTGGGCCTGGGTTGGATTCCTAGGGACAGTCAGAGGAGATACAGTGAGGTGTATACTGACTTCATGTTTTTGTGAATGAGTTAGTATGGGGTAGTCTCGTGTTTTCATAGTGCCTCACTATATGGGGATTGTCTCTGATGGATGCTTCTAAGACCTGCTACAAGACAAATAATAAATAAATAATATTGATGGTGCTGGTTGGGATTTTCACTGTAATATGGGAGCTAAAACTGACTTTGGGCCAATACAGGCAAGGCTTTTTTGGTGATATCTTTATCACCAGAAAGATAACCAAACTTATAACTGGGCTACTAAAAAGAGCAGCCTGAACAAAAGCATTCGGTTCAGTTGCTTCTTTGACCTTGTTGCTTCAGGAGAGGAGGTGGTTCTGCTATTGCATTCTCTTTGCAGAGCTTTCTCAGGTTAGGCTTGGCTAAGCAGACAGCTTTGCTCCCATGGGGTAGATTGGTTGGCTTGGTTCATTATTAATCTCTCTCTTGAATTTCCCTATTTCCATGTTGGCCTGCAGGTTATTTGGAGGACTGGTAAAGGACATCCGAAGAAAGGCCCCTTGGTACTGGAGCGATTTCTATGATGCGCTGAACATCCAGTGTTTTTCAGCTATTCTCTATATCTACCTGGCGACTGTTACCAATGCAATTACTTTTGGTGGCATGCTGGGAGATGCTACAGATAACATGCAGGTCTGTGTTAGCTTCACGCTCAGACTCCTTCCTGCAGGCCATGCGATATGTTCTCTCTGCAGTTGCTTCATTACCTTTCTTGCCCTGGTGAACATTTTGTCAAAAGTGGAATATATCAGAACTAAACCAAGTGCTGGCTGCCCTAATGTTAATGGTGATATGTTTAAGGTGCATATAAGAGTATGTTGTCAGGAAGGGTGCATCAGAAAGCAAAGCTAACACTGTGGTCTCTCCATAATATTATTTGGGGGAAACAACTCAAGTGTTTTCCAACTCACGCTCATTAGTTCTCACATGCTGTGTGCATCTTTCTGCCAAGCTTGCAGCTGTTGCTTATGCTTTCAATTACTCACCTACTATGCAACCACTTTGGCCAGAAAACTGGTTGTAACAATTCCTGCATAGTGATAACTTTCACTCTCCTCTATGCATGAGATGCTGGGGGCCATATGCAAGACAAGACAAGACAAAACAAGACAGTTGATATACATATGCATAGTTGATATAAATATGCATCGATTCCCTGGAGTTTATCACTTGGAGATCTCAAAGCACTTTAGAAAGAAGGATATCATGATCCTCATATTAGAGATGAGGAAATAAAGTATAGGCAAGTAAGTGGTCTCACCCACAATCCCATAGCAAATCAGTGGCACAGACAGTAATAGATCTCATATCTCCTAACACTCCTTGCAGTCTTTTATTTTAGCCACTAAACTACAGTGTCTCATTTCTGTATACTGGTTTGCTCAGCATGCAGATACACCACATAGTGCATTTCTGTCTCTCTGAGGAGTGGGTATGGCAGGGATGGCCAGCCTGTATGACACAAGAGGCATAGGAAGCCTCTGTGTGTGACAAATGGCAAGAGGGGAGGCAACAGGCAGATGGAGAAGGGAGCAGAAAGCAGAGCAGCAGGTCAGACAAGGGAAGGGAATTGGCACTCTGGGAGGCTAAGGGACTAATTAGTGGTAGGCCTGACAAAAAGGTTGGCCCTCACTGAGCTATGGTATGGGGCATGTGGGTTGAGAGAGGTTGCTTTGGAATAAAGTAGCTAATGAACAGGCAGAACAATAGACAGGAACTGTACCCAACTTGAAGTGCCTGGAGAAACACCAGCAGGGGGCTCTGGCACTCTTGCTAGTACCTGTCAGTCTGCCAATTCCTGTAAGCCAGTGTTTCTCAACCTTTGTAGATTCAAGGCATGCCTCGTTAGGGTTGCCAAATCTGGTTGAAGCTATTCTGGGAGATTTTTTTCCCCAACGTGATGTAATATCATTAATTGTACTGTTCAACCCGTTCACAATATCAATCTTCCAGATTGCTTTCAACAGTCACCGGGAGATCAATGCTGATTCCAGTAGACTCCTGGCCAGTTCGGTAGGGTTGGCAACCCTACACCTTGTTAGACTCAAGATGCCCCTCAGAAGATGCTAGCTCTTAGTTTTCACTCATTTTTGACTACAGGAAAATAATAGAGCAATTCTTCTGATGCAAAGAACTCTGAAAGACCTCAACAGGTCAGAATGTTTTTAACACATGAATTCCTATTTGAAATCTCTGGATTTATCTTGTGAATCATGTCTGCACGCCTAACAGTGCTAACATTGCATGACACCCCATGGCACCCTTGAAAGGATCTCAGGGCATTCCAGGGTGCTGCATCACCCTGGTTGAGAATAGGTGCTGTAAATGAACCAGGTGCAGTTGGAGACAGATGTGAATGGAAGGGGAAAGGTTCAGTTAAAAGGGTTCCCTGGAATGACTGAAACTCCTGGCTGAGTTTTGTCCCTGAAAGCAGCTGAACAGTACCCTGGATCCAACCAACTGCGAGCTTCTCTGCTGGGTTTCAGTGTCACCAGTATAACACCACCACAATTCTTAGATAAATTCTACACTCCTTTATAACCTAAATTAGAACCATGGGTCAAGCCTCTATCAGATGAGCTAAATCCTCTCCTAGTTACTTAGGAGCAGAGCAAGTGCCTTAGAACCCCTTTGGGCAACAACACACATGCAAACCCAGTTCATTACTCTGACACTGCAGAATTCACATTTAGCACAGAGATGGCTGCCCAGAGAACTCACTTGCCTTGGCCATGTCCTCCTGCGTAAAGAGTCTGAGCTCATGGGGTCTTCAGAGTGAGGTGTGATGGACTAGTCTGTGTGCAGAACATTGTGCATACTCCTCTTGCCTTGTTCTGTCTCTGGTAATAATCTTCTGTGACCCTGAACCAGTAGCATAATTTGGGCTGAGCAAGTAGGGTACCAGCCCTGGGCCTCCATTTAGTGGGACACCAAAGTTGCACCTCCCCAGAGAATCTATGGAGCTGCAGCAGCAGCTCTGCACTAGTTAGGCAGGCCACCCTGTACCAGCAGCAGTCAGGGACTTGGAGTCCTTGGGGCAGGTAGAACTGACCACCCCCTGCTCTTCAGTGCTGTACATTCCTTTGCCCCCCAGCAAGGTTTTGTCCAGGGCACAAAACCTACTAGAAACACCTCCGCCCTGAACTGGTCATTTTAGTTATCTGTGCCCTGGCTTAACTATTTTATGGGAACTGAGAACCCACAGTTTCTGGGAACTGAGACCAAATAAGTAAATCTTGGTCAGCACTTTGCAGTGAAGGGTGCTATATGAAGCCTTAGGGTTACTGGCTTCTCCTTTCTCTGGCAGAATAACTCAGCAGCAGGGAGATGGCATATAAGGAAATGGAGGCATAGGTAGGAAGAGAAAGATAGAACTTACTCAGCCTCTTGGGCGTAAAATTTTGGCAGTTGTTAATGTTTTGTTTGCGTGACTAGAACTTGTTGGCAGTAGTAACAATAAGTGAGTGAGCAGGACATGAGCCCTAGGCGCTGCCTAAAAGGGGGAGCTCTGGAATTGAGCTGGAGGAAGGGCTCATCTTCCTGGCCCTGATCCTCTTCTTCCCTCCCCCCACACAACCGTGCACCTTCCCTGCAGTGACTCCAGCTCCAGCAGTCAGAAGAGCAGAGCAGAGCAGAGCACAGCAATGGTGGCAGCACAGGGTGTAGTTGGTGGAAGCAGCACAGTGTAGGGGCAGTGGCCAGAGGTTCCCTGCTATGGGGCAAAGATGTCACCTCCCTGAAAATTGGTGTGTTTTTGGCTATCCAACATGTCTTGGCAGGAAAAAAAGGAAATGACATCTCCCACAGCAGCAGCGAACCTTCAGCCTCTGCTTAGCAGCATCAGCTAAACATAAGAAAATGATTCATAGTCACAGAGAAAATGTCTTAGGCAGATGCAGCTTGAACAGTGGTGGGCTGAACATTTAAAGAGAATGGCACCACTCCTGCTAGCAAAGCCTTTTTCCAAGTACCAGCTGCTAATCAATTCAGGCTGACAGAACTAGCACTAGGGGGATAGCTACACTGCTATTTAAGATTGACCCTCATGGCTGTGCTCTGCCAGAAGAAGCAATGTGTGCTGTGGAGCCTTGTCTCTGTGTTACTTTGTGACAACTGCTCATTGCACTTCCTGTTCCTTGAACAGAACCCTTCTAGGAATTAGTCTGAAGACCACTTATCTTTCCTTCTGTGTTTGTTTCTAATTATAACCAATATACATAGAAAGTATAGAAGGGCCAAAAGTTCGGAGTAAGGGACTGTGAGATAAGTGCTGGAAGACTTCCTGTGCTTGTGCCTTGCCACCCTTAGGTGAATTCCTGACACATTGCAGGAAGAAGCAGGCTCCACCTTGGACCCCAAAGTTCAGCCTGTCTTTTAAAACTGAGCTGACTGCTGCTGGAAAGCAACTTTAGGGGTATTCAACGTAGCTCAGCAACTATGAACTGATGCTTAGTTGAGTTTGGTTCTGTTTCAGGGGGTGCTGGAGAGTTTCCTGGGTACTGCCATTGCTGGAGCTACCTTTTGCCTCTTTGCTGGCCAGCCCTTGACCATCCTGAGTAGCACTGGTCCTGTGCTAGTATTTGAAAGACTCCTCTTCTCTTTTAGCAAGTAAGTAGAGCACTTCTGCAGAATGTCCTTGTCCTGAAGGAGTGAACCTGCACCTGGTGGTCTCCCCAAACTTCTTCTAATGGAACTTTCAGCTCTTGGGAAACTGGCTAATCCCCACTGCTTCATGTAGGGGTTGCGCTGGGCTAAGGTTTAGGGTTAGAGTTGCATTAAAGGCAGAGGTGTTAAACTCATCCTCCCCGGTAGGCCAGATGGGTGATGTGGGACTGGTCTGAGGGCTGGATTAGGCCCATTGATTCTTTCCCCCTTCTCAGCATACCTGATCAGGTGGCTGCTCTTGCTGGTCTGGGACCTGTGCTGTGTGTGGTGCAGCACAGGCCCAGCATCAGCTAGAGCAGGCATCGTGTGCAATGCGTATCCCAGAGCAGGCACCACATGTGGCAGAGTCCAGCCAGGGCAGTCATTGCATGCAGCATGGCTGCTGCTCCCGTCAGACTGTGCCACAAATGGTGCCCATTCTGGCCGCTCTGGGACCTTCACCCCACACAGTGCAGGACCCAGACTGGCTGGAGTGGCTGCTGAATCAGGTGTGCTGGGGGAGGGAGAGGGGAAGGAGGGGGGTGAGGGGATCCACGAGCAGGATCCATATGTTTGACATCCCTGCTTCAATTGAAAACAATTTCTGTGAGGAGGGGCCACGCTGCTACTCTTGGAAGAAGCCAACACCCCCACTGCCCTTATTCCCTCTTCTAAAAACCAACTTGTTCCAGAATCCTGTTTTGACCTAACTCTCTTCTGATGTGAGGGTCCAGATGCCACATACCCCCAACCATTAGGTCACTGTGTCCATTCTTACATATCTTGCACCCCAGCATCAGAGCAGGGACATATTCTAGAAGATTCATAATCTGATTTAAACTAGAGGACTGGAGATAGCCAGACATGATACAGTTACCCAGAGTGAATCCCTAGACACACTGAGATTGGTTCAGCCACTGCTGACCCAGAGTTCTAGCTTATTGCTCTGCCTATGGCCATGACATTAGAAGATGTTTTTAAAGCTCAAACTCTGCCTGAGAATTAGACAAATGGGGTGTATTCCCAACTCGATGAGTAACTCACAGCATGTCTTGGTGTGTAGAAAAAGCATAACTGATGTTTATACAGTACCTTGAGATCTTTGGACACAGGGCTAATAGAGCTTTTTGACATGCTTTCTGAAATGCTCGAGTCCATTCCTTCCACCAGAGACTACAGTCTGAACTATTTGGAATTTCGCCTCTGGATTGGCCTCTGGGTGGCATTTTTTGGCTTGATTCTGGTAGCTACTGAAGCAAGTTACCTGGTGCAGTATTTTACCCGCTTCACTGAGGAAGGCTTCTGTGCCCTCATCAGCCTCATATTCATCTATGATTCTGTGAAGAAAATGCTGAGCCTGGCTGATTACTTCCCTATCAACTGGAATTTCAAGATCAATGACATCACCCACTACAACTGCATCTGCAATTTATCTGGCACAGGTAAGAGTAGATTTCATGCATTTGGAGGACCTTTTGTTTTCTTCAGCTGCTGCCCCTTGGCAATGTGCTTTGGTCAGGAGAGCGGATATCGACACCTCAGTGCAGAAGAAATAATGTTTTCTATAGTGTTGCTCCACTCTGAAGAGTGACTGTTATTTATTTTTGTATAATGGCTGTAGAGACCAGGAATCTGCTCTGCAAAATTTTGCATAGACCAGGGGTATGAAACTTACTAGGTCCCACAGGCTAGATCCAGACTAAGGGGCTTCTCACAGGCTGGATTTAGACAGTGGGACTTCCTACAGGCTGAGTGACCAGAGATGTATTTTAGTCTTCAGGACCAACTAAACCCCCTGGTTTTGGCAGCAGGAAAGGGGGAGGCATTAAAGTGGGGAGGCATCAAATCTCTGGGTTCTAAAGCTGTGCCAAATCAGTAAGGATTAGTGCCAGCTCCAAAGGTACTCTGGCAGATATGGGGATGAGCCCCATGGGCCAGATTCAGCCCACAGAGTTGGGTGGTCCAGCCCACAGGAAGCTCCATGGGCCACGTTTCACACTCCTGGTATAGATATAAACCTAAGAGATAGTCTTTGCTATGAACAGCTTTCAGTCTATCAGGTAGACATAAGCATTAAGAAACAATGAGACAATGTCAGTCAGCAG